CCTTTTCTCTCCCATCTCATGTCTCTGTTTAATGTTAATCTTTTCTTCCTGCTCTTTCTCCCTGCTCTGTTTATAGTTGTTCTCATTATATCAAAGAAGACATTTGGTATTTGTTTTTTAGGGATTGACTAGCTGTTGAAGCTGGTCTTGAACTGTGATCCTCCTGCCTCAGCCTCCCAAGATGCTGGAATGATAGGTAAATGCCACTGCACTGGCCTCTCTTTGTTGTTGAACTTTATGAAAGGAAGTTTCAGCCATCTAGATGGTACCCACCCCACATGCTTTAGTACATGTGGGGACATAAACAAGACTTTTATATTTCTTGCCTATGATAATTGTATTATACCCAAATAACCATACAATGTTATATTTTATAGTCCATACTAAAATTCTCGTGTTTGGCTTATTCCATGTGAATGTTTTAATGCATTGATGATTATAGAACAAATTTTTAATTTAAGCATCTTTTCTCACCCATAGGAAGGATTCCTCATTGTGAACTAAGGTTACTTCTTTTGAGCAAGAAAAGTCTTAAGCTTGACTTCAGATCATTGAGTGGGATGAGCAGCCACCCAGCTAATATATGCTAATATGCAATAGGTTGTAGGCTCAGGAGCATAATTGGTAGTAGATTCAGGGGTGGGGGTAAGTCACAGAAGGCTAAACAGGTTTTTAAAGGCTGCCATCAGCGAGCTGAGGCAATAGAACCAAAAGCTAGTCAGTTTTGAAGTTCTAAGGGAAGATTTCTACTGCTTACCAGGTCTTGAACTCTATAGAGCCAGGCCCTCCTGAAGGAAATACTACTTTGTCCACCACCTTTGTTTATCCAAGGCTTATGGAGTTTACAACTGTCCTGGCAGACCTCCACATGGAGGCTAAGTGTCCCATCTGTCAGAAGCACTTGAAAAACCCAGTGACAATCAACTGTGGGCATAACTTCTGTCTGTCCTGTATCAGTCTGTCCTGGAAGGATCTAAAGAATAGTTTCCCCTGCCCTTTTTGCCACTTTGACTGTCTAGAAAGGAAGTTCAGGAACAATTATCAGCTGAGTAACTTGACTGAAATTGCTAAGCTACTCCCATTACGAAGAAGCAAGAGAAAAAGACAGGAAGGAGAGTTTATATGTGAGAAGCACAAACAAGCTCTGACTTTTTTCTGTCAGAAAGACCTAGAGGTTTTATGTCCACAGTGTCGTTTCTCCATTGATCACCAGCATCACACTATTTGGCCCGTAAAGAAGGCTGCCCTCTATCACAGGAAAAAATTGGAGTGCTACATTGACCCATGGAAGAAGAAAGTGAAACAAATTGAAAAAACGATTAGTATGCAAAGTAGAAAATCCCTGGAAGTGAAGAAAAAGGTAGAACATAGGAGAGAAGAACTCAAATCTGAATTTGAACAAATTGCATTGTTTCTCCAAAATGAGCATGAGACTGCTCTTAGGCAACTACAAGATGAAGAGATGGATATTTCAGAGAAACTGCAGGAAAACTTGACACAGCTTTCAGATCATGCCTCCTCATTAAAATATCTGTTGAAGGAGATAGAGAGAAAATATGTAAAATCAGAAGTGAAATTACTGGAAAATGTTAAGAGTATCTACCATAGATGTGAATCCTCAAAATGCCCTGAAACATTTTCATTCAAATTAAAAGATTATGTTTATCAGCTTCCTCCACAATATTCTGGCCTAAGTAGAATTATCAAGCAATTTCACGTGGATATAGTTCTAGATCCTGAAACAGCCCATCGGAACCTTATTATCTCTGAAGACAGAAAAAGTGTGCAATATGGAAGTATGAAAATAAGACCTGATCATTCCAGAAGATTTTATCTCTGCCCGGCTGTTCTAGGTTCTGAGGGATTTCATTCTGGCAGACAGTATTGGCAGGTAGAAGTGAAAGACAAGCCTGAATGGATTGTGGGTGTCTGTAAACACACTCTTTATAGAAGAAGGAAGATTCAAAGACAAACAGTTATAGTACAGGATGGTTTATGGGGAATTGGGCATTGTAGTCAGACTAATTATGTTGCATTGGGTTCTGAGGAAATTAGTATTCTCCCAAAAGTTACACCTAGTAAGATTGGTGTTTTTTTAGACTCCGAAATGGGTGAGGTTTCCTTTTATAATATGGATGATAGAGCTCTTCTGTATACTTTTGATGATCTCACAGAAACGCTTTGGCCTTATTTCTGCACTGGAACTGACTCAAAACCTCTTAAAATCTGTACAGTAACGGATTCTGATTGGTGATGTATTTGAAGGTTTCTTTTTCTTTCAGTTAGTGGATATAACTGAGCCAGTAAATCTTGTTGACAGTTGCTTTTTTTAAAAAATGTTTTTACTAAAAAAAAACTATTATTTCATATAAAATTTTAAGCAAGTTCATAAAAATGTAGTTCCTGATTTATAGGCATATTATGGGGTCTAATTAGGAAATGCTTTAGAAATTCTTAGATAAACTATTTGGGAAAAAATGTATTACTTTGGAAAGTATTACTTAAATGATTGTTAATAAAAGTGAATTAGATTTTTTTTTTCTGGTATTTGCCTACATATTTTCCCTATAAGAAAAATAAGGCCTTTATTAAATGCAAACATAACCATGCATGAACCATACCTGCTCTGTAAAGGTCACCATTTTCAACTTTTATCTGTTTACCCCTATATTTTTGATATTTGTTTTTCAGTTTTCAGCGGACACAACATCTTTGTTTGTATGTGGTGCTGAGGATGGAACCCGGGCCGGCCACAGGCGTGCCAGGCAAGCGCGCTACCGCTTGAGCCACATCCCCAGCCCCACCCCTATATTTTTGAGTCATGTTTTTAGTCTTGTTAGCTTGCAGTGCTGGGGATAGAACCCAGGGGTCCTTCACATCTTTTTTTTTTTTTTTTTTTTTTTTTTAGGTCAGGTTTTACTACCTGTGTTGCTGAGGCTAACCTCCTGAGCTGCTGGGATCACAGGCTTTTTTTTAGTCATACATGACAGCGGAATTATTTTGACATAATACATACATGGAATGTACATATATCAATCATATTGTCTATTCTATTCTGCTGCCCTTCCTATCTCCCCTACTCCTCCCCTCCTCTCCCATCATTTCTCTCTATCCAATCTAATGTGACACTTTTTTTTTCCTCATCACAACATCATATATGTATTCTGTATAACAATGAGGTTTTCCTTCCATCTTCCGTGCAATTTCCCTTCTCCCTCTTTTTCCCCTCCCACCTCTCTTCCCTATTTAGTGGTAGTCTTCTCATGTTCTTCCTCCCTATCCTATTTTGAGTCACCCCCCTTATATCAGAGAAGACATTTGTTTTTTAGGGATTGGCTAACTTCACTTAGCATAATCTGCTCTAATGCCATCCATTTGCCTGCAAATGCCATGATCTTGTTATTTTTTAGTTCTGAGTAATATTCCATTGTGTATAAATGCCACATTTTTAAAATTCATTCATCTATTGAAGGGCATCTAGGTTAGTTCCACATTCTAGCTATTGTGAATTGTGCTGCTATAAACATTGATATGGTTGTGTCCCTGTAGTATGCTCTTTTTAGGTCTTTTGGGTATAGTCCAAGAAGGGGAATAGCTGGGTCAAATGATGGTTCCATTCCTAGCTTTCCAAGCAATCTCCATACTGCTTTCCAAATTGGCTGCACCAATTTGCAGTCCCACCAGCAATATATGGGTGTACCTCCCCCCCACCATCCTGGCCAGCACTTATTGTTGTTTGACTTCATAATGGCTGCCATTCTTATTGGAGTGAGATGGTATCTTAGAGTAGTTTTAATTTGCATTTCTCTGATTGCTAGAGATGGTGAGCATTTTTTCATGTATTTGTTGATTGATTGTATGTCCTCTTCTGAGAAGTTTCTGTTCAAGTCCTTGGCCCATTTGTTGATTGGGTTATTTGCTTTTTTTGTTTAACTTTTTGAGTTGTTTGTATACTCTAGAGATTAGAGCTCTATCGGATGTTTGAGGGTAAAAATTTGTTCCCAGGATGTAGGCTCCCTATTCACCTCGCATATTATTTCTCTTGCTGAGAAAAAACTTTAGTTTGAATTCGTCCCATTTGTTGATTCTTGGTTTTAACTCTTGTGCTATAGGTGTCTTATTAAGAAATTTGGGGCCTGCCCCCACGTGATGAAGATTAGGGCCAACTTTATCTTCTATTAGACGCAGAGTCTCTGGTCTGATTCCTAGCTCCTTGATCCATTTTGAGTTGACTTTTGTGCGTGGTGAGAGATAGAGATTCAATTTCATTTTGTTGCATATGGATTTCCAGTTCTCCCAGCACCATTTGTTGAAGATACTATCCTTTCTCCATTGCATGTTTTTAGCACCTTTGTCTAATATAAGGTAGTTGTAATTTTGTGGATTTGTCTCTGTATCCTCTATTCTGTACCATTGGTCTACCAGCCTGTTTTGGTGCCAGGATCACAGGCTTTTTTTTTTTTTTTTTTTTTTTAAAGAGAGAGTGAGAGAGGAGAGAGAGAGAGAGAATTTTTTTAATATTTATTTTTTAGTTCTCGGTGGACACAACATCTTTGTTGGTATGTGGTGCTGAGGATCGAACCCGGGCCGCACACATGCCAGGCGAGCGCGCTACCTCTTGAGCCACATCCCCAGCCCAGATCACAGGCTTTTTAAAAGTATTTTATTTAGAGACAGGGTCTTGCTAAGTTGCTGAGGCTGGCTTTGATCCTTGTACCTACCTCAGCCTCCCAAGTCAATGGCATTCGAAAGCACATCTTTTTGTCAGATTTATCCCTGAATATTCACTCTGCAGCCATACTAGGGATTGAACCTAGGTGCACTCAACTGCTGGGCTACATCCCAGCCCAATTTATTTTCAGACAAGGGCTCCCTAAATTGCCCAGGCTGGTCTCAAATTCCCAATCCTCAGCCTACCAGGTAGTTGGGATTACAGAGGTACACCACACTCCTGGCTTTTGGTTTTTGTTTCTGCAGTACAGGGGTTTGAATCCAGGGCCTCTCATGTTAGGCAAGTGCTCTACCACTGAGTTATATCCTTAATCCAAATTTATTTTGAGAAAGCTAAATTGCCCAGGCTGGCCTCCAATTTGAAATCCTCCTGTCTCAACTTCCTGTGTAGCTTGGATTACAGGCATGTACCACCATGTCTGGTGTGCACCCATGTGTGGGACTGTGTATGTATTACTGGGGATGGAATCCAGGGGGCACTCTACCCCTGAACTTCATACCTAATTTTGATATCAGATCTCACTAAATTGCCCAGGCTGGCCTCAAGCTTTGGATCCTCCTGCTTCAGCCTCCTAAGTCTGGAATCACAGGTGTGCTCCACCAAGAGCTAGGTCTGGGGTGTGCTTATAGGCCCAGCTGTTTCTGAGGCTGAGGCAGGAGGATCACTTAAGTCCTAGAGTTAGAGAATAGCCTGAGCAATACAATGAGACTGTCTCTCAACAAAAAAAGTTTTTATTTTTTGTTTTGTTGCAGTACTGGGGCAGGGCTGTGTTTTCTCTCCAGAATTTGGAAATTTCCAGAATTCTTTGTTACTAATTGCTCATTTCATCCCATTATGATGAAAGATTATCTCTTAAAATTTGCTAAAGTGGTGGCACATCACTACAACAAGGGAGGCTAGGCAGGAGGATCTCAAGTTCAAGATCAGCCCAGGCAACTTAATGAGACCCTGGTTCAAAAATAGGGGTTGGGAATGTAGCCAGTGCTCAACCCATAGTACCACAAAAATAAAAGAAAAAATAAGAATACTTGGGCTAAAGTATAGCTTAAGTGATAGAATGTTTGCTAACCTGTGTGTGGCCCTGAGTTTGAGCCCCAGCACTACAAAAAGGAACAAATAGAAACATTTGGGACTGGGGTGTAGCTTGGTGGTAGAGTACCTGCCCAGAAGACCCTAGGTCTGATCCTTTCAGCACTGAAAGGAAAACACAGTGAAGAATGGAAAATAATTGCTTGAGTCACCCGTGCCCCGATTCGACACATTGCAGTGTGCAGAAAGACCCCTTTGACTTGGAGAAGGGAGGGGCAATTAAACACAGGCCTTAGCTGGTAGGCACACCTATAATCCCAATGGCTCAGGAAGCAGGCAGGAGGATCATGAGTTCAAAGCTAGCCCCAGCAATTTAGCTATCTCTAAATAAAATATAAAAAGGACTTTGGATGGGGGCTGAGGATGTGGCTCAAGCGGTAGCGTGCTCGCCTGGCATGCGTGCGGCCCGGGTTCGATCCTCAGCACCACATACCAACAAAGATGTTG